GGGGAGAACTCCCCCGGTTTTTTTTTCCCCCCCCCCCCCCCCTTTTATTCATTCTTTTTCTGTTCTTTTTTGGAATATAATTTTGTCATTATTTTGTATTTTTTCTCTTTTTTTTTATTCATTTTGGATTTTGATTTGGAATTAGGGTTTTCTCGTTGCGGACTGATCTCAATTCGTTGAAATCCCGATGGGTCGGAAGAAGGGAAGTGGTCGTGCGGACGACGAGAACCCGCCGCCTGCCGCGGGTGGGAAGTTGAAGAAGAAGGGTCTGGTTATCGACGACGATGAGTACTTTATCGGAACGGAGCTCTCCGAGGAGCCCCAAGTTGAAGAAGAGAAGGTTGTGATTACTGGGAAGAATAAGGGGAAGAAGGGGAAAGCTTCCCATCCTAAAGAGGAAGACGTAGAAAAGGCCGTGGAAGAGGATGAAGACGATGTTCCGGAAGTTGCTTTCGCCGGTAAGAAGAATGGGAAGTCTAAGAAAGGCGGTGGGAATAGCGTGTTCAGCACTTCGAGTTTCGGGTTGCTTGGAGATGAGGATAATGACAATGATGTTGATGATGACGGTGATGATAAGAATCAGAGCGAGGAGGAGGAGGAAGATGCTCTGGTGGTGAGTTTTTCGGGGAAGAAGAAGCCTTCCAAGTCGATGAAAAAGAGCGGCGGTAGTTTGTTTTCTGCATCGGCTTTCAATGCTATTGATGATGAGGGTGATAATGATGGAGAGGTGGTTAATGTTTCAGTGGATGATAGTAAAGAAGTTGAGAATGATGATGAGGTACTGGCTGTTGAGTTTACGGGGAAGAAGAAGAAGTCGTCAAAAGGTGGGAAGAAGGGCAGTAGTGTGTTTAGTGCGGCTAGTTTTGACACCCTCGATGACGGGGAAGAGAATGAGGATGCTAAGAATGATGAGGAGGATGCTGTTGCTCCGATTAATTTCTCAGGTAAGAAAAAGAAGTCGTCAAAGGGTTCGAAAAAGAGTGGCGGTAGTTCATTTGATGTGGTATTGCTTGACGAGGGAATTGATGAAGATGCCTCTGTATCTGAAACGTCTGGAGTTGGTAATAACACTTTGGAGGATGAAGATACTTCGGTGGTTTCATTTTCGGGGAAAAAGAAATCTTCTAAAAAGAAAAGCAACGTTACTTTTGCTAAATTGAGTGGAGATGTTGGGAATGGGAGTGAAGTCAAAGATGTGGTTGAACCTGAGCAATCGAGACTGGGGACTAGTAATGTTGCAGTTAAAAAGAGTGAAGAAGTAGTAGAAACTTCGAAGAGTAAAAAGAAGAAGAAAAAGAGTGGAAGAACTGCCGAAGAAGAGGAAGATTTGGATAAGATACTTGCTGAGCTTGGTGAGGGGCTTTTGGTATCACAACCTCCTGCTGCCACTGCTCCTCCTCCTCCTACACAAGAGGAGAAAGCTCAGGTTCAACCTGAAACAGCTGGTCCAGTTGATGGTGAAAAAGAAGGCGAAGAAGAGAGTCTGGAGTCTGCTGCAGCGAAGAAAAAGAAAAAGAAGAAGGAGAAGGAAAAGGAGAAAAAGGCAGCGGCAGCAGCTGCAGCTGCAACAGGAAAGGATGAAATACCAGATGGGACAAAAACAGAAGCAACGGAGCTGAAAAAGAATGAAGCAAAGGGTAAAGCTGCAGAGAAGAAAATCCCAAAGCATGTCAGAGAGATGCAAGAAGCGATTGCTAGGCGGAAAGAAGCTGAAGAGAGGGCAAAGAGAGAAGAAGAAGAGAGGTTGAGAAAGCAGGAAGAAGAGAGGTTGAGGAAGGAGGAAGAGGAGAGGAAAGTGGAAGAGGCTAAGCGTAGGAAAAAGGAGAGGGAAAAGGAGAAGCTGCAAAAGAAGAGACAGGAAGGCAAGCTTTTGAGTGCGAAGCAGAAGGAAGAAGCTCGTAGGCTGGAGGCAATGAGAAACCAAATACTTTCTAATGCAGGGGGTTTGCCTCTGTCTACTAGCGACACTAGTGCACCAACTAAAAGACCGTTGTACCAGAAAAAGAAGTCAAAGCCAGTGTGGCATCAAGCAAATGGTGCTGCTCCTGCTAAGGAGGTTGAAAATGCAGAGGAAAAGGAAAGCCAGCAGGAGATTGCGACGGAGGTGGATTCCACAGAATCAGAGAAGGTTGAAGAGACTGAATCGGTTGATGTGGAGGAGAAATCTGAGGTTTCCGAGACAGTTAAGGAGAATGAGATGGAAGATGATGACGATGATGACGAATGGGACGCAAAGAGCTGGGATGATGTCAATCTTTCTGTGAGTGCATTTGCTGATGAAGAGGTTGACTCTGAGAGTAAACTTATTGTGAAAAAAGAATTGAAGAAGTCTGTATCAGATTCTCGGAATGCTGGTAAGCAGGCTTTATGGTGTGATTTTTGCATTTAGATCTTTTCATTTTAGTTTTGCATATTCTGATGTCTCTAATATCTTTGATTAATACTGTGGGTGATTATCAAATTAACATAATGTAATGCTGTTCCTGTTTTACTCACCTAGATATTGTCCCCACTCCCAACATTTGAAAACACGACATAGTGAAAAATTCATTTAATTTCTTTTATGTTTTTGATAGATATGACAATCTCTCCATTTTCCAACTGTCGTGTTTGATGAAACTTAGCAAGTATTTAAATCGAAATATTGCAACTATTAGTTGTATGAGTGTTAAATGATTTTGGCATTAAATTGAACATGACTACTGCTCATAATTCCTTTAAGACATCTTTTACACATATGCTCTGTGTTGAAAATTTGACCAGCTTTTTAGGACTTCTTCCCCTTTTTCCCCCTCATATTTTGCTTAGCTGATAAATGTGGCTCAGATTATTCAACTTAAGCTTGACAGTCTATACTACAAATCCTGCTATTTTTTGTCCTTGTGTTGAAATTTGGGTTCGCGATATGGGTCTAGTTAATCAAAGTACTATTACTATCTCGGTTAGTGATGGATGGAAATTGGTCGGCATATATGCTCTGAAAGTCTGTTGGGATGCACTTGTTTTCTGGCCTGATGGGGATGGCATATATATTTTTATATCTTAAGAAGCATTCTTTGTTAGAGGACTCATTTTGTTGTCTGTTTGTTTTTTCTATTTGAAGACCGTCCTGCAGATACCAAGCCAGCAATCGCTGCTAAGAAACCAGTCCCAGCTGAACCAATAAAAACTCAGGGTGAAAATAAGAAGAAGCCTGCCGAGGTTGAAGTTGTTGACAAAAATAGGAAAAAAGATGCCACAGAGAAAAAGAAAGCACAAAATTCAGATGCTACAACCAAGCATGAAGAAAACCTCCGATCACCTATTTGCTGCATTATGGGCCATGTTGATACTGGTAAAACCAAGCTATTGGATTGTATCCGTGGCACTAACGTTCAGGAAGGTGAGGCTGGGGGTATTACTCAACAAATTGGTGCAACATATTTCCCTGCGGAGAATATACGTGAGAGAACCAAGGAACTAAAATCTGATGCTACGCTAAAGGTCCCGGGGTTGTTGGTTATTGATACTCCTGGCCACGAATCCTTCACTAACTTAAGATCACGGGGTTCAGGTCTATGTGATATTGCAATTTTGGTTGTTGACATTATGCACGGCTTAGAGCCCCAGACAATAGAATCACTCAACCTTCTGAAAATGAGGAATACAGAATTCATTGTTGCCTTGAATAAGGTGGGTCCTCAGGCGGTTAAACTTGAATAGGTGTCAGGGCTCATTAAGTTTTTTCTTCTCATTTTGGTTATTATTTTCTTAAAAAATACTTTTCAAATTTTCAGGTAGACAGACTCTACGGTTGGAAATCCCGCCGTAATGCACCGATTGAGAAACAATTGAGTCTGCAATCTAAGGATGTACAAAATGAGTTCAAAATGAGACTTTCTCAGGTTATAAGATTTTCATCTTTCTTCTCTTTTCTGTTTTCTCTGTTTTATTGTCCTGGTTAATCTTCAAATTTGTTTGGTGCATCAGATTACCACCCAGTTCAAGGAGCAGGGATTGAATACTGAACTGTACTATGAAATGAAGCGTAAGGATTGGGGGGAGACATACTTTATTGTTCCTACAAGTGCTATTACGTATGATTCAGACTTTGAGCGCAACACCTTGTTATAGTTGTTTTCCTTTTCTTCTGCAATGTATTTTATGGCTAGTTCTCTGATTTTCTGCATTTGTGACTATTTCAGTGGTGAAGGAATTCCTGATTTGTTATTGCTATTGGTAAATTGGACCCAAAAAACTATGGTTGAAAAACTTACATATAGTAATGAAGTGCAGGTTTGCTTTCTTTTCTTTGTACTTCCTATTACTCAACTCCGAGGCAGTTGAACTTGAACTAGAAAAATCTGATTGAGTGCTTATTCTCTTCGTCAGTGTACGGTATTGGAGGTCAAGGTTGTTGAAGGTCATGGGACAACTATTGATGTTGTATTGGTTAACGGAGTGCTTCACGAAGGAGATCAAATAGTTGTTTGTGGCATGCAGGTAGGTTGTTTAAACCTTTTTTCAAATGTGATGTAGTGTTTAATCTTGTAATTTTTCCAAGTCATTAGCATCATTATTTAGTGTTCGTTTAGATTATTCTTGAATTTCTCGTTGTTGCTTTAAGAATTTCACAAGTAATTGTTTATTTACTAACATATATTCTCATTTGAAGGGACCGATTGCTACGACTATTCGTGCCCTATTAACACCGCATCCAATGAAAGAGCTCCGGGTTAAGGTAATTCTTTTATTTGAGAGCTAGAGTTCACATCTACTCAGTCTCATAATCATAGATTCCATGATTGAAAAGTTTGAATCCAATTAATTTTCATAATATCACACCAAAAAAAAAAAAAACTTTAATCAGTTATCACAAAAAAGAAAAAAAAAATCTTTGATCATCTTCTGCGTGGTTTAGTATTGGAGCTGTTTGACTTGAGTTTGTGTGCCTATGTGTGTCCGAAAAAATTATTTTATTTTGTCTATTTCAAAGCATTTTATCTGAAACTATGCACCAAGAATCATTACTTATAAAGATAATTCTCCCTGGTAAGTTTAAATTGGAAAATTGGTTAATGAAGACTAACTAGAAAACAGGATATTAGAGATCTCAGTGGGCATTAGATTACTATTTCTAAGGGGAATTCTATCTGCCTAGTGTCTTTATTAGATATCGACACTTGATTGAATTGGTACTCTGTAAACTTAAACTGCAATAGAATTAAAAAAAAAAAAAAAAAGTTAGAAGCTTCTCATATGCTTGCTGGGTTCTTATCATGACACGATTGTTATATTACATTTTTTATGTTAATATAATGGCCATTATAGTATGGGAAGGGGAAAGATAATACGAAAGGTGTGCTCTTTTTTAAAAAAAATAATAATAATAAAAGAACTGGGTATTGGATTAGATTGGACTGGGCTGGATATATGCAACTTTCCATGCATACAAAACCGTGTTTCATGTGAGATATTTGACTTGAATATCCCAGTGTTATGTTCGAAGTTTAATTTATCAATAAGATTAATTCTGTAACTTAAAATAAAAAATTTGAATGAGAGATATTATGCAGCATGCTTATGTCTGTTGATCACGAACAATTTTTATGAAATATGTTGGATGATAATTTGCTGGGTGTTTTGATGTTAGGGAACGTATCTGCATCACAGGGAAATCAAGGCTGCACAGGGAATCAAGATCACAGCTCAGGTGATTATTCTAGATTGAAGTTGAGCCTAACCCTCCATACTTTTAGGCTTTGAACACTTCTTCTATATGCACTGTTCTGAGAGAGTGATTTCTGTTTAATATTTAATGCAGGGCCTTGATCATGCTATTGCTGGTACTGGTCTATATGTGGTGGGGCCTCAAGATGACTTGGAAGAGATCAAGGAAGCTGCCATGGAAGATATGAAGTCAGTTATGAGCAGGATTGACAGAAGTGGTGAAGGAGTTTGTGTACAATCATCCACACTAGGTTCCTTGGAAGCATTGCTGGAGTTTTTAAAGACACCGGAAGTGAATATTCCTGTTTGTGGTATAAATATAGGCCCTGTACACAAGAAGGATGTCATGAAGGCCAGTGTGATGCTAGAAAAGAAAAAGGAGTTTGCCACAATTTTGGCTTTTGACGTCAAAGTAACGCCAGAGGCCCGCGAACTTGCAGATGAGTTGGGCGTAAAGATTTTTATTGCTGATATAATTTACCACTTGTTCGACCAATTTAAGGCATATATAGATAACATCAAGGAGGAAAAGAAGAAGGAAGCAGCTGATGATGCAGTATTCCCCTGTGTTCTCAAGATTTTACCAAATTGCATTTTCAATAAGAAGGATCCTATTGTCTTGGGAGTTGATGTTCTTGAGGGCATTGCTAAGGTACCATTATTTACTTTTCATTTAGTTATTCTGATTACAGGTGAAAATGGTTGGGCCGTAATTAGTTTAGTTTTGGATGGGGTAAGGGGTTAAGTTTTCAGTACGTATTTTGTAATGGGAAAATCAAGTCTAAAGGAGGTTTCAGGTACTAAATGTTACTCTAGTTCTTGCTAAGTTCCTTCCCCTATGTGGTTTTATAAGTCCTTAGAACTGTTCTTTTTTTCTTGCCATGCTTATTATGTTATTTCAGTTAAATACCAATCTCATAGCAAAGGGGGATAAATTGCGGACCCTGTTTGTTGCTGTTTCTGAATTCTGTCCTCTATATTTGTGATGCCTACAAAAATTTCATACGACTCCAAAATGAGTTTCAATTTGTTGTAAGACTAACATATGTTCGTTTATTTATTGTTAAACCAACATGACAGTAATTTTGCTTTCTATGTAGATTGGAACTCTAATATGTATTCCTCAAAGGGATTTCATTGATATTGGTCGCATTGCTTCGATTGAAAATAACCATAAACCTGTTGATACAGCCAAGAAAGGGCAGAAGGTAGCCATTAAGGTATGGAACACGTGATCTTTGATGTAAATTTAACAATTTTATTTTCCCAGTTAAAAGATAGCAGTTCATGTAGACATAACATGTCAGGAGATCAAGTGCAGTCGCTATTATCAGGAAAGAAAATATATGTTTTTGGGCATGCTGCATTTTTTTATTTTTTATTTTTTAAAATCACTTTACCTACTAATTCTCTGTTTCACATTTTTTTTAATGCAATGCGATGTATCCAGATGATGCCAGGAACCTTTGGTGTGCTTATTTCGTATTTTCAAACCATGTATCCAAATTTGAACATTCCATATCATTTATACGCTTCATGTACTAGTGATCAAAACTTTGCAGTTCCCCTTTCATTTGACTGTCTTTTAAGAGTAGCATCTTTGCTTTCCTAAAATCTAAGAGAACAAGGTCTGGCAGAAATGGACACATTGAAAACAAACTTACACGATTATTGATCTTTGTGACATGTCCAATGGATTGACATTGATTTATGCATGTGTATCAACATTAATTGACCACGTTTTTTTGTTTTTTGTTTCTGTACTCTGTGGAAGCATAACTTGCTTCTGCTGAAACTTTCAACAAGTGCTATGAGCTTCAGTTGTAGCATAGGATGGTTAAAATCAATAACACTATTGACTTGAGTTGAAGATTTCTCTTTAGACTCAATCTTGATATTAATATACCCATTATATCTCGATCTTCTATCTCGTTTTTAAGGCACTTGTGTTTTGTTAGAAATTTCATAGTCTAAAATGAACTGAGATATTGAACTTTGCCTAGTTGTTTAAGCTTGTCTCAACGGTTTCTTGAGCATGGACGATTGTTCCAGCGATGTTTTGTTATATGCAATTGTTATTTTATCGCGTGATTTACACCGTAATACAGTGAGGGAGTTATTTTCCATTGAAAATATAAGAAAACATTATTTTAGGTGCATATTGCTGGGCTTTTCTTGAAACCTTTTGTCTTTGCCCATTATTTTAGGTTTTTGTTTTTGTCTGTTTTGTTTTTTGTTTTTTCCTGTCACAAATATTATCCTTGGTGCAAATTGTTAGCTCGTTGTTACCTTTTTGTCTTCGCCGTTTTATTTCTACAGGGTTTAGGAGTTTTCTTTTTTGTCATGCAATGCGTTTTGCTGGAATTGGACTCATTGCTGTCTTTGTTCTTGTGCTTTTGCAGATTGTTGGCAGCAATCCTGAGGAGCAGCAGAAAATGTTCGGCCGGCATTTTGAGATAGAGGATGAACTTGTCAGCCATATCTCAAGAAGGTCAATCGATCTTCTGAAAGATAATTACCGAGTAAGTAGAGAGCTCTAACATAGTTATGGATACTGACTGCCTTTTCTTTTTTTTTTTTTTTTTCTTTGGCCCCTTTTTCTAACTGTGATTCGAAATGTTCAGGACGATCTATCAATGGAAGAGTGGAGGTTGGTTGTGAAATTGAAGAACCTTTTCAAGATACAATGAGAAGTTTTCAGATGAAACTCCACCGGAACAGATATTTATATTCATAAAACTACAAGTGACTTGACAGACTTCTGTGCATCTCTGATAGAAGATGCTGAAGTTTCTTCTGGAAAATATTTTGATTCCTTTTGACAAGCAGCAAACTGATTCTGATAGGCAGATGTCCAAACGCAATCGTATCCAGAGAGGGAACTGGAGTTCCAGTTTTTGTTGTGCCGGAAGCCAGTTTTGGGAAGGGAGTTCAATCCTGGAAACATCCTGGATTCGTATAATTCAGTGCATTTCTTCAACAAGCGAGTGAGCCATTGCAGGATTCAAAGAAAATGCGTAAGAGCTGCTATGGTCTGGGAGAAAAGAAGTTACTTTACTATATATATTTTATTTTAAAAGCCTTTTGTTTTCAACTTTAATATGGGAGATGTCAATGTGTTTGTTCGTTTATAAAATTTAATTTTTGAGAAATTTACAGAAATCCCCTTTCCTTTTGTATTTTAAAATTTTGTTAAGCGGAATGACAAGTCATTTTTGATAAACAATGAACGATTTGAGAGTTTGTTCTATCCAGTTACGCTAAGAGTTTTTTTTTTTTTTTTTTTTTGGTGCTTAAAAAATCTTAAGGAGATTTAGGCCTCGTTCATTTTACGGATTTGAGTTTTCAATTCAAGTTAATATGTGATTGTATGTGAGTTTTTCACTGTATTAGAAAAGTTAAATGTGATTTTTTTGTGAGAGCTTTTAATTGGTTCTGTTTATTTCACCGATTCGAGTTTTATTATAGTAAAAAGTTTTTAAAAACAGTAACATTTAATTTTTTTTGTTACAGTAAAAAGTTATCACATAAAGTCACATCTCAACTTAAATTAGTGAACTAAACGTGTCATTAATAAAATTAGAATTAAAAACTTGAATTAGTGAAATAAATGAGATTTTAGTTCAAGAATGTTGTTTCTTACTAGTTTGAGGTCTTACATCGCATAAGGTTGAATTCCTTAAATTGCTGGCTACACTTTTTATTTCAAGAATGTCAAGCGGTCGTGTGCTAAGAATGGAGGTCATTTTTTTCTCCGGAACTTCGGGTGCAGGAGGAAGGACACTGCCATTTTTGTAAAATCTTTTTGAATACAAATAAGAGAGATTTTTTTTGTACGTTTGGTGTACGGATATGTCACGTTCTTTTAACCATTAGACCTATGTATTTTGACTTTTATATGATTTTATGTAGATCTGACAGACATAAAACTTGACCTATTGGTGTGTTAGCGTATTGGAGAAGATGCTTAAAAATAATGGCATCTTCACAATTTGGAGAATTAATTTAAAAATTACCTCACATAAGCAGTGCCTTTAGGCCACGTATGGTAGCTTTAGACCATGTTTGGTAGCTTATATTGTATTGTATAAGGTGTATTGTATTGTATTGTATTTATCACAGTACAATAGGTATTTGGTGTTATGATGTATTGAATAAGGGGTTAAAATGTAAAATTTTAATAATTTTGGGGTCAAAATAATTTTTCAAGTCTAAAATGAAATTTTATAAAAATTTTAGGGTAAAAGTATCATTTTGAAAAAGTTTTGGGCCAAAATGTAATTTTGTAAAAGATTTAGGGTTAAATATAATTTTTAAAAAATAAATTTGCACTGTGTCCCTCAAATTTTTAACAATTATAGGCTCCAGCATTATTCTATGTCGGCTCGATCTCGACCCCTAGTCATGCTCCTCCCCGACATGAATCACTGATCTACTATAAAATAATATAATACAATACGCTAAAAATAAGTCGTATTCAATAATATGACATATACCATATTAATTTTACCATCCGTATTAGTTTATACAATATGATGGTCACACCAAACATTATATTATTGTATTATTATACTGTACTATGGTAAAACAAATATGCCCTTAGAGAATCACGATGTATGCAATTAAATTAGGGTATGTTTGGTGCGTTGTATTATATTGTATTGTATTGCATTGTATCGTATAATATTGATTGCATTGCATTATATAATTTTTATACAATATGGTGTTTGGTTGGTGGTATTATTGTTATACTATTTTTACTATTGTAATCTATTTATGTAATAGTTTGTAATAAGATAATATTTAGGCCTAATCATAACCTAATTCGACTCTAATCTTGACCCGAACCCAACATTTAAAAGAAGCAAGAGAGAAAGTAGAGTTGCTATATCATGGTATTTTTGCAAAAAATTTTAAAAAATGGGGTCAAATTGTAACTTTCAAAAAATTAAGGGGTAAAAATATAATTTTAAAAAAGTTGAGAGGTCAAAGCATAAATTTTTTAAACGTTTAGGGGTCAAAATGTAATTTTAAAAAATATAAACCCAAAATCACTCTGATCCCAAAACTCGACCACAATGTCAGTCTCAAAACCCAACCCCAACCCTTGATATTTGTAAAATATTTTATATATTTTTAATATGGTATTTTAAGTTAAATTGTATAATACTGTCTAATACATATGTTTTTTTTCGTATTAGATATTATACTTCGTATTGTATTAATTTTGAATCTTGCATTAAACAACATAATGTATAAATGTCACAAACATTATATTATTATTAAACAATACAATACGGAGTACTTATTTAATAACACAAGTATATATCTTTTTAAAAAAAAAAAAAAAATTCCCCTCAATTTATCACTATCTTTTTAAAAGAGGAAACCACCAATAAATTAGAGGAGACATGTCTATCCAAACAAATAATTAGAAAAATGAGCGACTGAATTCTCTTGTTAAGGAACGTAGCAAATTGAGCAACTGTTTGCTTTTGAGATAGCTTCACGAACATCATCGATAATTGAAGCATGATCCGTCAGAGAATGAAGTATACTAACAACATTAAGGTCCCGTTCACTTCGCTGATTCGAGTTTAGAATTCGAGTTTTTCTACAGTTAAAGCTCTCACAAACAATCACATTTAACTTTTTTACTACAGTAAAAAGTTCTCACATAAAATCACATCTCAACTCGAATTTTAAACTCGAATCAGCGAAGTAAATGAGGCCTAATTGTATCCGACTCGATAAACCAATTACAAATTCCAATTACGAAATCCTCCATTCACAACAAAATGGGTCTCTTTTCTAACCGCGAAGTCCGCCACATAAGGAGTGAATTTCCCAAAAATCCGAACAGCATGCTGCTACACCCACACGTTACCCTTGTCATCACTAACACATATGCCAATCCCAAATACGTTTTATTGTTTTTCAAATGCTCAAAGTATTTTTAAGAAAAAAAAAATATTTCTAAGAAATGATTTAAGGATATTTCGTGCTTTCGTTTCATTTTGCAATGTCTTCTTGGGACATGCACATCTAAATTAAACGTCTTTTTATTCAACTTAATTATACCAGCTGACTTAAAAGAGCTGATAACTTAACAATATTAAATTTAACGTTTATATGCCTTATACTAAAAGTGTGTGACGCGGTATCGTTTGATATCAAAATTCAGGCCAATTAGCTTATGCAATTTTGCTTATAAAATCATTTCTAAAATTATTTCTCGCTTTAGAAACCGCTTCATATCTCCATTTTAATTGCATTTGTTGCAGGGCGTTGGATTGCGGAGAACACTGTGTTAGCTAGGGAGGTGCTTCGTGTTATGGAGAAAAAGCAGGGGAGAGGAGGCTTAATGGGTATTAAGATTTGATTTGCACAAAGCTTACGATCGCATGGAGCCGAGTGGTCTTTTATTATTAAGGTGTTGAAAGCTTTTAGTTTTTCTAATCAGTTCACATGACCTGATTTTCCAGTGCCTTTCCTCAGTTAAGTTTTAAGTTTTGGTGGGTTGGAGACGTTCGTAAGGATAGATTCCTCGCTTTGAAATCTTGGGATACAATCTGTCAACCGAAATCCTCTGGTGGGCTTGGCTTTTGGAAATTCAAAGATAATTTATTAGGGAGAAAGAGAGAAATATGTCAAGATTTAAAATGAATTAAAATTAATAGGCTAATAATTTACATAAGTTAATAAATAGACAAAATTATTGTTTTCGTCCATAACTTGTCTAGTTATGAACCATAACTTGACAAGTTATTTACGGTTTTTGTCCATAACTTGTCTGGCTATGAACCATAACTTAACAAGTTTATCCATAACTTATCTAATTATGAACCATAACTTGACAAGTTATAACCTATTAATTTCTATAATTAAAAATTAGTTTATATACTTTCTTAAGCTTTTTATATTGTCTATTTTCTACTATTTCTCATTGTTGGGTTTCGGCTTTAATGAAGCCCACTAGCTTGTTTTGTTTGGGCCCAAGGCCCATATTTATCCTATTGAATTAGGTGCTGCCAATTATGTTTTTGGAGAAGTTTATCTCTCTAATTCGACTATAAGCCTGCCGACTAATGAAGAGGACAAAAAATAAACGTCGACAGCAGGGTTCGAACCTGCGCGGGCGAAGCCCAACAGATTTCAAGTCTGTCTCCTTAACCACTCGGACATATCGACTGTTCTTTTTCACTGCCTTAAAATCCACTTTATTATCAATAGTAGTAATGTTAATTTGATTTATTTATTTATTTATTATTTTTTGGGTTTGATTTTTCTTCTTGAAAAGGGAATAGAAAATGTTTTTACGTTGAAAAGTTTCTAACCATCTAATGGTTCACCGTTCACGGAATCCTATATTATGTATTATGTTGAAATAATAGTCATCACGACTTTTAAAGGTATAATGATAAAAATCTTTATAAAAATAATTATTAAATTTATTTTTGTCATGTTGCCCCATTTATTTTTGTCATGTTGCAATTGAATCGCGAAGAATGATGGCTCTCAAAGTTGTCAAAAATTGCGGGGGTATGTTATGTATGTGTGATGATGTCAACTCTCTTTCTTTTTTTTTTTTCTTTTTCTTTTTTTTTTTCAATTTGATTTAAAGTCATAAAGAGATCACGCACATATATTGATTTCAATTAGTGCTCTATAGTTTGTTGGACGAGGATAAGTGGATATATAGTATATATGCGGCATGTATAACTTTTATGCTTCTAACTTGATTATTATGTTTTTATAGTTTTATGCTTGTCAACGTTATTAGATTTTTCCAAATCAAGGAAATACACGTATCTAGAGTCTAGACGTACAGGGATAAAATTATAAGTTACCAAGAATGTTTCAACA